AGGGACGGACCCAGAGGGTTTTGGGTTGGGGGCAAGAATATTTTCGGACTAAAATGATATAAAATCTTAACTTTGGAGGGCTAAAGTATATAAATTAATAGATAAATAACACAAATATTAAAGAAATAATAAAAAACACGTAAGAAAAAAATAAATTCCTGCAGGGGCGGCCCTTCCATGACATACCTTGGGTCTGCCTCTGTATATATACATTATATGTAGGTATTTTGTCAACCGACCAAATTTTCAACATTTTTAGTAACTAGGAAGATGCACGTGCGTCGCATATGTCTAGTTAAAATATTTTAATAAATTGTATTATTTTATATTGCATTAGGTATATTTATCCTAAAATATTGTAGATTCAGCAGGAGATTTTGCTTTAAAGATCCTAAAAGAGGTCATGGTTATGTCAAAATTTGAAATATTGAAACTTAAACAAATATATACAACATGGAAGCCATGAAAGAAATAATTTGAACTTCAATTATCAATAATACTGATTTAAAAACATAAATATTTGCTTACATGAAAGATTCCACGGAAACGTACATTAATCCATCACGGGGTGTTTCTTTACTCAAGAAATTTTTGCCTGTGCGGCCTGATATGTCCATCAAATCAGTCAGCATTCTTCTCGATTCTCTTCGCACAAACGCACTCAAACACTGAGTCTTTTAAGCCACGTAAACGAACACAAGAGTATGCAGCGGAAAACAAACACACAAGCACGTTTACGGGCAATGCCCAACCTTTATATTAATTTCCCACAAAGAATACAAAGGAGACTAATGTGCACACACAAAATCCTCACTCAGAATGCCCACAATTGCAATCTGAACTCTCTAATGCTAGATGGGTCGGATTTGTGCACTCATAGCCAAATAAATACAAGGAAAATATAGTTTTCACATAAAACTACCCAAGGACACATGGCAGCACTAACACATGACACTTGGCTAACTATTACAAGTAATAAGGGGCAGTTTTTCATGCTTTTCCAAGCCTCAACCGCTCCGTAACTTCCCTCAAATCTGCCCACAAGGTTGATTTTCGAGGCCCAACTTGATCGGACGCGCGCGCGCGCACCGAACGGTCCAAACAGCCCGCCCGGTTGCTAGGCAGCCCATCAGCCTTGCCTTTTCCGCACGTTTACTTGCCTTTGCCGATTACTTGCCAGTTCTTTGCCCATACGGTCATTAGCACGCCCCCACATCGGGCTGCCTTGCTTGACTTGCCAATCAGTCGTGCCAAATTGCCCACACTTGTCAAGTCGTGGTCGATTTCCCTCGAACGTTCGTTTGCCCAAGTTATCAGCCACATGCCGATTATTGCCCACCCTTGTCCGCATTCGCTGCCGAGCAACGCCCGTGCCAGCCACTAGTACTTTCGATCACCGTTCCCACTTGAATCAAGCCGTTCCTTGCTTTTTCGGACAAACACCCCAAGTGCTTGCCCAACGACACTCGATCGACCACTCATTGGCCGATTGCGTGGCTGTCTTGTGCCAATCCTCACTTGGCACCATTTCTCGGCCATGACTCGGCCACACTCGAGTCATTACCGATATCACCGATTAAGGGGGTAACAAGAGGATATGTTAGGAATAAAGTAAAAAGGAACAAATAAATATAGGAATAGAGATAAAGCACTTTACAATGTCCATCAATGGGTATTTATTCATAAAGAGATTCAGACAATAAATTTATTTACAAAAAAGTTAACACATGGTTCAGATTTTTGTAAAAGACTAAAATAGCCCCTCATACTTTAATATGCTCCAATTTCATTATTTAATTTAATCTATCCTCAATTTGACCCCAATTTTCATAAATTGTTCAATTTTGACCAAAAACACATTTTTATGGACAATTTCGTCCGTCACCGCCTTTGACCGCCGGTCTTCGGCGTTGATTTTTTTTTCTTCCTGATTTTTCCGCTGGTTCCCGACATTGACTTTTTTTTTTTTTTTTTTTTTTTTTTCTTCCTAATTTTTCGGCCACCGGTTTCCGACGTTGACTTTTTCGATTTTTATATTTTATTTATTTTATTTATTTTTTCTTTCTTTCTTTCTATAACATTTTCTTTTTTTTCCCCCGTTTAAACAGCAATATTGATGTGATTGATAGTAATATTAACTATATTACTGTTAAACACAGTAAAATTAACTATATTACAGTTTAACACAGTAATATTGTTATATTAATCTCTAGCACAGTAATTAATATTAATTAATATGACAAAACTCATTATTATTGTGTAATAGAGTAATATTACTATGTTGGCCATTCAACAAATGTAAACATAATAAAAAGCCAAAACAATTAATATTACTGTGAGTGACAGTAATATTAATATAAAAACAGTAATATTACCGTCAACCACAGTAATATTACAATAATAAACAGTAATATTATTACGTTACTCGGTGAATAACTCAGAGAAAAAAAAACCCAAAAAAAATAATAATATTGATGTGGTTGACAGTAATATTACTATAACAACAGTAATATTACTGTCAACCAGAGTAATATTATTGTGTTTACAGTAATATTACAATAATAGACAGTAATATTATTAGGTTACTTCGTGAATGACTCAAACAAAACAAAAAAAAAAACCTTAAAAAAAAATAATATTGATGTGGTTGACAGTAATATTATTGTGTTTACAGTTACTTTACTGTCAACGACAGTAAGATAATTACGTTGACTTGTCAACAAATCAAACAAAATTAAAAAAAATAACAAAAAAAAATAAATAATAATACTACGTTAATTTACTGTCAACGACAGTACAATTACATAAATGTATTGTCAACGGCAGTACAATTACGTTAATGTACTGTCAGTACAGTATAATTACGTTAATTTTCTGTCAGTGACAGTATAATTACCGTTAATGACAACACAATTACGGTCAACATTTAGCGGCGGACGTTAAAAAAAAAGTCAACGACGGAATCCGGCGGCAGAAAAAACAGACCAGGACAAAAAATCGAAAAGTCAACACCGAAATCCGGCGGCAAAAAATTATTTTTCGAAAAAAAAAGAGGTTTTGAAAAAAAGAAGTCAAAATTGAATTTTTGTGGTCAAAATTGATTTAATTGGGGTTACAATTAAGAATTGGGTGTAAAGAGTTGGGATAATTTTGTCATATACATGATTTTTTCTTTATTTAAAATAAATATTAAAGGGATGGACTTATTGGTAAAAGAGATATGAGTTACAATTAAAAGTTGGATTTAAAAGGTTGGGGGTAATTTTTTCATATACATAAATTTTTCCTTTATTTATAATAAATATTAAAGAGATGAGCTTATTGGTGAAAGAGATATAGCCCCTAAACCTAGATTAATAAAGATGATTGGTAAGGAACTTATGCACAGAAACCCCGAGATAAATTTTTTTTCTTTTAACAAATTAGTTGTCATGTATTTTATGCAATGTTTTCAGAACCGGACCGGCTATAGAACCGGATGACCATTTGGGTCATGGGTTTATAGGGTCGAACCGATTCAACCGGGTTTTTGATTTTTTTTAATATGCCATTATTTTATTAATTTTAATGTTTTAAAAATATTAATTTCTTTATATTTTTTATCTCTCACTTATTATTTTCACTTTTATCTACTTCACATCATTTTTTACTCTATTTTATTGATTGTGCTCTATATTTTTTTCATTTTTTATTCTTAAAATTGGGCAATCGGCCACCCCTATTTGATCACCCATGATCATATCCTACAATCCTTCGACAACTCATGACTAGATCTGGCCACCCACTAAAAAGTCTGCCAAGGATCGCTCAAATCTAACTACAAATAACAACCTCAATGGTGATTCGAGACGTTTTGGCCGAAAACCGGTTTCTTTGACTGACTCGTCGGTTCTCGGATTTTACCCGGTCGAACCGGATATGGTCATTTGACTCCGGTTTTCGATTTTTCCGGTTTTAGATGTCAGACCGGACGGCTTTATTGTCGGGTCACGGTCGAACCAGTCCGACCGGCCGGTTCGGTCCGGTTCTAACAACATTGATTTTATGTTATTATGTATCTATGTACTCTAATTTTTTTTATTTTTTTTTTGGCGATCGTTCGGGGTTTTTGTCTTCCTTTTTTTTTTTGTGTGTGTATATTGTTTTTCTGTGTTTTATTTAAAGTGGTGCTATTTTCACCTCCAAAGTATCTCAATTCACCACTAAATATTATAAAATATCATAAATACCATCAAATTTTTAATCCACTACCCTTCCTTATATTCACTTAATCGTCACGTGTTCTAATTTATTTCTATTTTATTTTATTTATTTTTTATTTTTTTGCAATGAAATATTTATCACAAGATATTTAAACTTCCATATCATATGATCCACAGAATATGTAATTTTATTTTTGGAGACACAATTATATTAAGCCAAACTCGCGAATTCTAGAAGAAGTTCAGGACCTTTCATACAAGCACTCTTAATTTATTTTTCCAGAAAGAGAAAGGTGAATTCCTGCTCTTTTTGACATTCAAAAATGTTTTTCTCTGACGAAAGTATTATTCACTTAAGGTGGAGAATGTGAGATTTCCAGTGAAAATTGTGGGGTTTTTTTTAGAAATATTTTAATTAGTTTAGTGGTAGACGGTTTATAAATTTGTAAAAAATATAGGTGAAAGAAGAAGAAATGGGTAAAATATGAAATTATTTAATTTGGTGGTGAAATAAGATATTTTGAGGATAGAAATAACACGTCTATTTAATTTGGTGGTGAAATAAGATATTTTGAGGGTAGAAATAGTATGTCTCTTTATTTAAATCGTGAGAAAGCATTATCAACGTTCAAGGGAATTTGGTAACGGAAACGCAAGTCGAACCACAAGTGGCCACAAATTGGCCATGTCGCAACAATCGCCATATGCTGCAACAATTTTAATGGTCATCTAGCAACATACACCATATGACGCAACATTTTTTTGTATATCTATTTATGTGTTTTATTTTCGATTTAGGTTGTGAGAAAGCATTTTCGCCGTTCGAAGGGAATTTGGTACCGAAAACGGAAGTTGAACCAAAAGTGGCTACAAAGGGGCCATGTCGCGACATGGACCATATGCCACAACAGTTTCAATGGCCATGTAGCGCGACATGCATCCAGGATCGCGGCATGAGGATGCTGCAAAGTGTCATGCCGCGGCACAAACATGATGTCGCGGCCTTAGGAAGTTCAAGAAAGATTTGATCAAGGACCTATGCCGCGACTCGCGACCTACCGAAAGATTATAAGGGCCGTGTCGCGACATCAAAAAGTGCATGTTCAATACATACCGTATGAATAATTGATATCTAGGGTCAATGAGACAATATTCAATACCATAAGATCAATACATATCCTTGAATTTTTTTTACCTTGACTCTAGTTCTTTATGATCATAGTTTATTTCCAATCTTACATATGATTGTTCCTAAAAAGTGGTGTGATACATTTTTTTAGCATGAATAGTATCATATTTTGTCAATCTTATAAACAATATCAAAGTAAATTAAATGTTTATTGAATTTGTAAATATATGAGATTCTACTTAAACAAAGTTATTAATATTTTGAATTTGTTTATGATAGATATAATGGATCTAATACCTTATTTTTTATTTAATATGGAAGAAAAATTCAATAAATTAAGTAAATAATTACACAACAGTAATAGTTAGAAAATATTGCAATATTGCATTTAGTATAGCGCTTAGAAGTTAGTATATTAATCACGTCCTCCATCTTTAATTATTTCTATCATCAACACGTTATGTATTTTTACTTTTTAGTCGGTCATGAATTTCACATGAAAATAAAAATAGTGATGTTATATATTCATTAAATTTAGTTAATGAATTGTTTATTTTAGTAATGCATAGATATCATAGTGACATATTTATTTATTTTGTTCAAAAGTCGTGATCTATTTGTGTACCTAATTGGTTTTATTCACCTTTAACAAATATTAAAATAAAACAATAATCAAGAAGATATGATTCCTTTATATGAATCACTACAATTTGATCAAACGATCGCTTGTTCCCCTTCTAAGATATCCAACAAAGGAAGTTATGATTTGGGAGGGAGCTTGTATTGTACCAACAACAGAACTAAACCCGTGTATGCTTAAACATGGGTCGGTTTTTCTAAGTCGTAGAAGATTATGTGCATAATGCCGAATCGAGTCTGTGAGAAGCCTACTCGAGGAATGACGAATTAAGTATCACCAGCATAATATTTTCACCGTCATTTCTTCTAAAAGTTTAAATGCTAAAAATGATGAGACCTGTGTTTGTCAGCCAAAGTCGCAGGCCATGCATGGGATTAAACATAAGAGATGGTAATATAATGCAATCGGTTTTTGGAACTGGTAAACAATCATATTCATACACAAAAGGCTTAAGAAAAGAATTCCTTAAAGAAAGATATTATTAGCCTCATCGAATTCAGGGTCCTTTAGCTCGGCCCCTTTTGGGGATGTAATGCTATGATCAATGAGAGTTTGTATCGTAGATCATTGAGACATAATTACTGATGTGCTACTTTGGGATCCTTTACAGCGACACAAAAATCACAAGGACAAACCATCAAAAGAAACTGATGTTTGTAGTATAGTCGCCTACCATTAGAACCATATAACTAGAATATTCGGAGGAACTTAATACGAAGTCACGCCTTTGTCTCTTAGAAAACAAACTCGATTTGTGAATACAAAACATGAATGATACATTTATAAGAATCACATGTGGTTAAATAAAAAAGTGTGCATAAGATTGTAGTGTTGTTATACTAAATCATGCACCTGGTCAACAAAATTTTGCGGTGTTCTTGTTGTAAGGGTAAGAAAAATGTGTCGGAATGTGGGTATATATATAGACCGTAGAAGCTTTTGGTATTTTTAGGTTGCACAACTTTCTTAGTTAATGATTTAATTTATTTTGTCATTAATACCTAAGTAACAGTGAAGCTTTTTCTATTTTCTTTACCTTTGAATGTAGTCCATATATTTCTTTTAGAGGAATGCCAAAGGATGGCAGTTATTTCATTATTAATAGTTGATTGATTCTGTCCATTTTGTGTATGGGAATGTCATTTGAAGTTTTTTATTTGTGAAATTATAGTTGAATTGCATGTTTAATTGTGTTAATGCAAGGAAATGGTGAGATGCGAGTTATAAAAGGCACTTATGAATTGTCGGTTTCAAAAAATGTTTGTTTGAGTTGGGATGGAATTGAAGATGTTAAACACGGTTTGTTGGTTCTTGCTAGATAATTTTACCATATTAGCCTCAATGTAGCACTTGTTCAAAGGGGCTTTTTTGGACAAACAAAAAAGGGAAAAAACTTCATTTAGTATTCACACTTTTATAGGTACGATAGATTGTTTAAATTGGAACAAAATAAATTGGTAGCTTTTTTTTTTAAATGTACCTTCTCTATAAATTTATATTCCAATGTTGCATTATCAATTATGTTATTCTTTAATCAAATTTCTTGCAGTATAATTCTTACGGTAAAAATAACTTATCACCATTTATCACTTTTTCAGTTGCTAGCACACTACAACATTTATGGCTTTATGCGATGGTAAACAACCGTCAGGAAAAGTAGAAAAACCGTTGGGAGCATTATTCTTGACGGTTTTCAACCATCACGAAATCGTCAAGAAAAAGGCCGTCGTATATACTTCCACGAGTAGAAAAACCATCGGGAATAATGTTTCTCGACGCTTTGAGAACCGTCGTAAATACTCATACATATTTTGAAAACCGTCAAGAATACATTTCTCGACAATTGAAAACCGTCATAAATACTGGTATATATATTTCAATATTTTCTTCGAATTAATACTGAAACCTATTAAAAAATGTAACCGCATGCCAAAAATTATTATAATTTCCCAACACGAACACACACAAATGCCAAAAATCACTAGGATTCCCCAAATACAGGAATTCTTGTTTTCCAAAAGTATGCAAAACCAAACTTCACGAATATTATCTTTAAAACAACACTTACATTCACTTCTAAAGTCTATACATCTCAGTTTAACAAAAACAACACAAGCTAATAACTTTGAATTTAATTAAATTTGGTTAATTAATGGCATGCGTGTCCTTGATCCCATGCTCCCATGTACAATGTGGTCCTGTGTAATCCAGAGAAAAAAACAAGTTATTCCATCACCAGAAAATATATCTACAATATATCTACTTGTAGATCACTTTAAACTGAAACGAAATAACATAAAAGAACATCAAATTGTATTATGAAGAAGGTATAAAGAATATAAAGAAGGTTCACCTGATTAACATGTTGCACAGGCCAGTGTTGTCAAGCCTTGAGATATCGCTTAGGAGAGGATCCATAAAACCTCATAAACATATGAAAATCAGGAAAAATTGCATAGCTTAATTTAGTATATAAAGAAAGATATTAAAAATCATGAAAAAATCACAAAACATAAAAGATGAAAGTTTAATGTAACGCCATAAAACGAACATAAGAGAATTAGAGCAACGATGGCGATAACTATGAGCTGGTTTAGTGCAGGGCATACTCAATGTCTGAAAATAAATGACAATATTAGTTTAAATTAAATGAAACTTTAGTAATTAAGTATTAAGAATAATATATTGTTCACCTAGACCTGATGTTGGAGGAACTGAAGTTGTATATGTCTAAACATTTCCTCCCATTAAAAAAAGCACTAGGGTCTGCCCTGCAAGGCCAGAATTCTTGAATCATTCAATCAAGACCTTACTCAGAGAATTAATCATCAAATATGCAAAATTATGAGTTGAACACGAAGACTTAGTAAGAAGGGAATAAAAATCTGATACAAAAACACCAATAGCTAACATTATTCTTCGAGGGTTGATTAACTAGCGTCAATTTAATCATTCACATAGAGACGCGGATAAAAAAAAGAAAATTGCTAGTACTAGCTACATACTTGTGTAAACATTTTAACCAGAAGTCATTTGCTTCACAGGACAGATCGATGCTCGGATATTAGTGGATGAGATTTAGTTGTTCCTGAATAAAAGAGAGCAGCAACCTGAAACAAGACCAACAAGTTACACCTAAAATTAATTCCTGATAACAGAGAATTGTGGACCTTAAGACTATTATATTCAGAACACTATTATATGCATACCTCCTGATATTGATGACTTCAAGGACCCTTTCCAGTGGTCACTACGACACTTCATATATTCGTAAATCTGTGTTATAATCTGATAATTATTTCTTGTCAGATAAATTTCATACCTTGAAAAATGGTTTAAAGTTAACATGAAATATAATAATACAAAAGTGCAACACAAAAGATTCTCATCAACAAAAATTGCAGATATTGTACAGCTAAAAAAATATGCATTTTTTGTCCTTCAAAACTAAGGAAAAATAAACAAATCTACATAGTCAAAGGCTTGAAGAAAAGCACATAAAATTAAAATTGAAAGGATTAATACTTTACCTAGATAAACTATCTGAAAGCAATCAATTGGGCCAAAGCTCATAGAGACAGCATTCACAGCCCCAAGTTGAAGCTTTCTATTGTACATTCAAGCCAATGATCTAAAGAAGGAGAGAGAATAGTGAATTTCGGCAGTCTAGAAATGATGAAGTCCATTGGCAACAATACAAATTTATCTAATAAAATGTTTAAAAATTAAAACGTAGGTGACAGAAATTTTAGGGCAAAAAATCAATACGAGAAGAAAGCGGAGACGTAAGTGGCGATGGCGGTGGCGGTGGCGGTGGCGGTGATAAACGCGATGGCGGTGGAGGAAGGGATTCCGATTGCGATGGAGACAACAATGAAGAATGGGATAGCGATGGAGACGACGATGGTGATGGATATATGATTGCGACGCCACGCGACGACTCTAGCGGCGGTGGAGTTAGCGACCGCGACGGCGATAGCGGCGGTGGAGAAGCTTTTCTCGATGTATCGACGGGAAGAGAAAAAGTAATGAAGTGAATTTAGGAAACTTTTTGCTTATTTAATTATTTATAAATCAGGTTCATTTTTAAGATTATTTTTAAATCAAATTAGTTTTTTTCTTGACGGTTTTTATGTGTCGAAATTGGTTTAAAAAACGTCAAGAATATTGTTTTATACGATGGTTTTTATGTGTCAAAATCGATTCAAAAAGCGTCAAGAACGGTCTCTTATACGACCGTCGGGTAAAACACATGCATC